ATCTGCAGACACCATTCTTGATTGTAAGCCTTGCAGCATTTCCTTGTTCTCACACTACGGCCTCATGATCCATCTACAGGTTTCTACAGAAGCAAAATGAAGGGGTCTAGAATCCCCTTTCGTCTCGTTTGTCATGGTCCACACAAATGCCTTCGCAGTCAATAAAGCGCCTTAAACATCTTCCTCGTATTCTCTGCTTTCAGCCAAGATCCAGCTCTAGAAATAGTACATGTTTCCTTCAAATATATCATGTTAACTACCATTTAGTATTCCTCTTCTCACGGTCTAAATTTGTATCTTTGAACTTTTGGTAGCATTTGCCTTAAGCAATAGAAGCATTTTTAGCTAGTCAGTATTTGTTCTACCCCTCCTTTGGGGCCAAGGTAGAAAAATTGAGGTGTGACAGGATTCTCATGAATTTCCATCAGACCAATTTTCTACATGGCACTCAAAAGAAGTCCCTTAGAAATTTCATCATGCCCTCTGGGGGAAGAGCTCTTTTGTTCTTTTCAACCTTAGCTTATAGAAGCACCCGATCCGTTCAACGTGGGCTGTGTTGCAGGGTCACTGGTGTCTTTGTCCAGTTGTCTAGATGCACTTTTCAGTCTTGAAATAAGTGCACGTTAAGTCATGGTAGCTTAGAAGAACTATTTACCTGCTCGGGGAGGATGGCATGATTTTTTTGTTTTTCTTTTTCACGTTAAAGAACAGGAATGTATCTTCTTTCAGTTTAAAAGGCTGCGATTGGGTGCCTTTGACTCAATTTTTTTTCCAGACACCATCATCAGGTGTCAATGTAATAGAGTTGAACTTGATGTCAATTGTGGAGTAGAACTGCCCCATAAGCTTTTTTAGCTTATAATCTTTATGGGGATAGATCAACCAGGTGTTTCTCCCAGGCAACAACCAGTCTTTCAGTTAGCAGTCAAGCAAGCACCATTGTACCACCAGGAGCTGCGAAGCCCAGATTTGGGACTGCAGTTCTTGTGAGGAAGCTCTGTGCCCTATCTGAGGAAAGATCCTTACCTCAGCTTCTCTCACTCTGGCACTCTGGTGGCCATGTGGCATTTCACCCCATACGGACTTTCTTGTGATACATAAGGTTGGTGGTTCAAATCTACCAGTTGCTCCTTGGGAGAAAGATGAAGACTGTCTCTTTCTTTAGGATTTAGTCTTTGAATGAACCTGATCTTGATGTTTCTCAAAAGTCATTAGGATTAAGACACTCTATAGTATAGACTATGTACTGATCTGGCTGAATTCTCATCGCAAAATCATATTCCCAAATGAGGTGCCATCCACAAGCATCTCACTGCCATCAAGTTGAGTCTGACTCCTAGTGACCTAATAGTATGCAGGAGAGCAGCCTATAGGGCCTCCAAGGTTGTGCGTTCTTTACATGAGTAGACTGCCACATCTCTCTCCATTGGAGTTGCTAGGAGCTACGAACGACCGACCTTTTGGTGAACACTACAACCAAACCAAACCCAACCAAACCAAACCCATTGCCATGGAGGCAGTTCCAAATCCTATGGGCCCTATGGGACAGAGTAAACCTGGCCCAGCAGGTTTCTAAGGCTGCAATCTGGAAAGGCTCAGACTGCTACATCTCTCTCCCAGAATGGAGT